TTGGATTTCCTTTTATCCACGAATTCAGGTTTGTTTTAATTTACTTTTTTGTGTTGGTTTATTTTCCTCTTTACTGCTATCTGCAGTTCTTACTTCGAACTCCTGACTAGCACCCCTCTTCCCCTCGTGTATCCTGCCCCTAATCCATGCTTACAGAGCCGCATCGGGGCACCCACCACCTCCAAGCACTGTCACCGTTTATCGTCCTGAACTCCCAATCAGTAACTTCATTCCACCCATTATCCTGGCCTCAATGGCGTCCTCCGAGCTGTACCTAGGCAACTACGAACCAACACCCTCCACCCAGTCCAATCCTCCAATCCATCACCTCCTTCCTTCCCCCCGCCCCCCTCCCCCGGGTCATGTGATCCAGCCGCCAGACACTGGGCAGCCCTAACCAGCGCGTCTGGCAAAGTTCCAGCAAGCGACGCCGCGAAATGGTGTCGGCAGAGATGTTAGAACAAAGCGCTGGAAGTCCAAGCATCACAGTTCATCAGGCGAGCGGAGTTTTCGTAATTGCCCGAATTTTAGTAAATATCACTTCCAGCATTTCTAGTTATCAAAATTCGACTGTGTTCCTCTCCACGGTGGGCCAGCAGTGCTAAGTCAACTTCGTATTATTAATACATAGGCGAGTTCAGCCCTCCCACCCCTTTTCAGTCTCCTGGTCAGAGATATTCACCGTTTATGTCCGTAAAATTTCCACAGCACTTTACACTTTTCAGAACAAAGAATCGATCGCTTGACTCGTTTATATGCGATTGGATTCATTGATGGTTAATTTATTGGTTCCGGGCAAGCATTTGCCTGCACTAGTGCGCATCACTCGTCCCATCTCTCTGCTCCGTGCCGGCGAAGATCCTTCAAGGACGTCCCGCCCGGCACCTCCTCTACTGGCCGATGTACCGGCGCAGCTGCGAACAGTTCGCATACGTATGGATGTGGCAGAAGGCGAAGTAGTCAATGTAGATGCTGTCGTTCAGGTTCTTTAAGTTCATGTTTTTTTAATGCGTTTTGTGCTGTGTGACAGCAGTACAAAACGCATATTGTCACGGGGTTGTCTGTGTGTGTGTCCGCAGCAGTTTGTCCGCAACTTTCAACTCGGGAACCATACGAACTAGGAAGCTGAAAATTTAGGAGAATATTCCCCACCCACGTGTGACCCCAAATTTAAATTCAGCTTCCCAGTATCCGCGGGTAACAAGTATGGCCCCGTGAAAGTTTTTTACGGGTAAATTAATATCTCGGGAACCACGGAGTCTAGGAGGCTGAAATTTTAGGGTAATGACCCCTTGCCCACGCTCAACCTTGTCCATTCAAAATCAGCGTCCCCGCGCTCTCGGGTACCACCTACGGGCCAGTGAAAGTTTTACGGGTAAATTATTATCTCGGGAATCACGGAAAGATATTCACCTTTCAAGGTTTCGAATTCAGCTTTCATGCACTGGTGCGTGAAATTTTTAACTATTTTCCAATGTTTG